CTTTGCCAGTGTAAAGCTGTTTTCATGTCACCAATTAGCACCTTTTCATCTCGAAGAACTCCTTTCAGTATTTCTTTCTTTTAATATATATTTTTTTAATCCTCACCCGAGGACATTTTTCCCATTTTTTGTTCAGATAGAGTGGGAGGGAGAGAGATAGACAGAAACATCGACGTGAAAGGGACACATCGAGTGGTTGCCACCCACGACCCAACCAGGGCCGGGGACAAACTGCAACCAAGGTACCTGCCCTTAGCGGAAACCGAACCTGGGACTCTCCGGACCGCAGGCCAGCGTTCTAACTGCTGAGCCAAACCGGCCAGGGCTCAGTATTTCTTTCAAAGCAGGTCTAGTCCTGATCAACTGCCTCCGCTTTTGTCTGGAACAGTCTTTATATCTCCTTCATATATCTGAAGGATAACTGTGCTGGCGAGTATTCTTGGCTGGCAGTTTTTATCTTTTATCATTTTGAATATGTAATTTCATTCTCTCCTGGCTTATGCATTTGGGCTGAGAAATCTGCTGAAAGACTAATGAGGGTTCCTTTGTATGTTACAACGAAATTTTCCCTCCTGGCTGCCTTTAGAATTCTTTATCTTTCATTTTGCTAGTTTATTATAATGCATCCTGGGAAAGGATGTTTTTGCATTGAGGTAATAGGTTAATCTCTTAGCTTCATGAATTTGGATGTCTAAACCTTTCCCCGGGGTTGAGAAGTTTTCAGCTACTATTTCTTTAAATAAGCTTTCTGCCTCCTCGCTCTTCTCCTGATCCCTGATTAATCTAGTATTGCTTTTCTGAGTCCCATAGATCACGTAGGCTTTCTCATTTTTTCTTCTATTATTTCAGAATTCCTATCCTCTAAGTCATTTATTTTGTTCCATCTGCTCTACTCTAAAACAGATGCTATTGTATTCTTTTCTAAAATATGTTTTTATTGATTTTTAGAAAGAGAGGAAAGAAGAGGGAAACATCAATGAGAAAGAAACATTGATCGGCTGTCTTCTGCACGCCTCACACTGGGCATGCAGCCTGGGCATGTGCCCCAATCGGAAATAGAACCAGCAACTTCTTGGGGCATGGGATGAAGCCCAACCATCAGAGCCATACCAGCCAGGCTCTACTGTATTCTTTTTTTTTTTTTATCCTCACTTGAGGACATTTTTCCATTTCTGTGCTCAGATAGAGTGGGAGGGAGAGAGAGGAAGAGAGAGAGAGAGAGAAACATCGACGTGAAAGGGACACACTGAGTGGCTGCCACCCGCACGACTAACCAGGGCCGGGGACAAACTGCAACCGAGGTACGTGCCCTTAGCAGGAACTGAACCTGGGTCTCTCTGGACCACAGGCCGACGCTCTAACCGCTGAGCCAAACTGGCCAGGGCTGTATTCTTAACCTTTCATTAATTTCTTCAGCTCCAGAATTTGTTTGGTTCTGTTATATGACTTCTCTCTCTTAAGAGTTCCTTTTGTTCATGTATTTTCCTTCCGAATATCTTTGAACTATCTTGAGTATTCCCTCCTTAAAAACAGGGTATACATTCCAAGATCCCAGGGGATGCCTGAAGCTGTGGATAGTATCAAACCCCATAAATACTACGTTGTTGTTGTTTTTTCTCATATATATACTACCTACAATAAGTTGGGCACAGTAAGAGATTAACAATAACTATAACAATCACTATATGCTGTGATAAAGTGACACGAATGTCTTTGGGGCCATTATTAAGTAAAATAGGATTACTTGAACACAAGCACTGCAATGTTGCTCAAGTCCATCTGATAACCATCCAGCACGGACAGACACACTGGACCTCAGGGATGAGTCACACCCCAGGCAGGATGGACGGGGACACACGAGATTTCATCATGTGATCAGAACTGGGAGCAATTTAAAACACATAAATTGTCTATTTCTGGAATTTTCCCTTTAATATTTTATAACTTAAAACGCAAAAAGTGAAACTGGATGGGTAAATACTGTATTCTAAATTCTTTTTTTTTTTTTTTTTTATCCTCACCCGAGGACATTTTTTCATTTTTTGTTCAGATAGAGTGGGAGGGAGAGAGAGGAAGAGACAGAGAGAGAAACATCAATGTGAAAGGGACACATCAAGTGGCTGCCACCTGCACAACCCAACCAGGGCCGGGGACAAACTGCAGAGGTACGTGCCCTTAGCGGGAACCGAACCTGGGTCTCTCTGGACCACAGGCCGATGTTCTAACCACTAAGCCAAACCGGCCAGGGCTGTATTCTAAATTCTTCATTAGCTAGATTACAGTGTTCTGTGGCTCTGAGCTCAGTTGTTAGTTATTATCTTTTGCTTTTTGATGTTCCTTGTATTTTTTTGTTGCTGTTTTCACATTTGAGGTAGCAGACAACTCCTTAAAAGTTTACCTGTGGCCAGCCCTAGCCGGTTTGGCTCAGCGGTTGGAGTGTTGGCCTGCGGACCAGAGAGTCCCGGGTTCGGTTCCCGCTAGGGGCACGTACAAAAAAAAAAAAAAAAAGTTTACCTGTGGCCTTCAGATGGGGCGCTGATTGTGATTGTTGGTGGTATGTGAAATTTTCCTTAGTTTTTGAATGGGAAGATGTGTGTTTCACTCTTATCACTCCCTCTTGTGGCAGAATTTTTATTTTTATTTATTTTTTATTTTTTTTATCCTCACTCGAGGACATTTTTCCATTTTTTATTCAGATAGAGCAGGAAGGAGAGAGAGAAACATCGATGTGAAAGGGACACATCGAGTGGCTGCCACCCACACAACCAACCAGGGCCGGGGACAAACTGCAACTGAGGTACATGCCCTTAGCGGGAACCGAACCCGGGTCTCTCCGGACCGCAGGCCGACGCTCTAACCGCTGAGCCAAACCGGCCAGGGCTGGCAAAATTTTTAATTTTTTATATATTTTCTAATAACTCACCAGGCTGGCTACTAGAAACTTTTTTGTTTTCCAGGAAGTGGTGGTGTAGTTCCAGTTTGTGGTGTCTCTTGCCCTCAGATCCTGGTCCGTTTTTCTGAGAGCACTCTGACCACTGGACCTGCTTTCAGCGCCGCACTCAGGAGCATGTGCCGGGATCCAGCCGGAGTGGGAAGGGTGTGGGTTTAGCACTTGGGGCACTGGAGGCACCCACAGACCTGGGGAGGGATACTAAAGAGGCTTGTGGGCAGATCTCCAGATTAAGTCCTGAATTAGTCAGCAGAAACTATGTTCCTTTAATGCACTTTGATATTCTTATCTTCCTTCTCTTTCTCTTCCCTCCCCTCAGTAATGGAAGTGCGCCCTCAGTACTCTGGGTGCTACTGGAGAGAAATGGATTCTCTAGTCGCAACCCACACACCTGGGATGGACAGGCATCACTCACTGCTCTCCACCTCCTCTGCAGGAGAGGCTGCCCCCGGACAGCTTAGCCCCTTGCAGCTAGGTGCTGGGTAACTGTCAACAAAAGAGTATCCTTTTTACATATTTACTCTAAAGTCACTAACACCCTCCATCATTTACTTTTACAAAAATTTAATAGCATTAAAAAGGAGAAGACTATTTTGTTTGTTTGCTTAAAGATTAGAATTAAATACTATTAAGTAGATTTTTATTTAGGGACAAAGAACAGTTTTTTTTAAAAAATGGCATGGTTTGTAATGGTATTTGAAATATTCTGTAATTATAGCCTGGCCAGTGTGGCTCAGTGGATTGAGTGTCGTCCCATGGACGAAGAGGTCCTGGTTTGATTCCCGGTCAGGGCACGTGCCAGAGTTGCAGGCTCAATCCCCAGTGTTGGGGCGTGCAGGAAGCAGCTGATGGATATTTCTCTCTCACATAGATGTTTCTCTCTCTCTCTTCCTCTCTCTCTAAAAACTCAATAAAAACATTTAAAAAAACATGCCCTGGTCAGTTTGGCTCAGCAATTAGAGTGTTGGCCTGCGGTCCAGAGAGACCCAGGTTCAGTTCCTGCTAAGGGCATGTACTTTGGTTGCAGTTTGTTCCCGGCCCTGGTTGGGTCATGCGGGTGGCAACCACTCGATGTGTCCCTTTCACGTCGATATTTCTCTCTCTCTCACCCTCCCGCTCTGTCTGAATAAAAAATGGAAAAATGTCCTTGGGTGAGGATAAAAAAAAAAAAAAGACATTTAAAAAAACAAACAACAAATACTCTGTAATAATAAAAATTAGATGAAAGTGAAATTCATCTTTCATCTTCACTTCTAAAGAACAAGAAAATGCTCCAGAAAAGAGAACTGACTAAAAACTACAGAAGTAATTTGATGGTACACTGACAGAAAGCTGAATGTTTTATGTTAAGAAATAACCTTTACTCTGACTCAGTTAACAAAAGAGCTTCAATGTGATTTCTTCACTTTCCCTTTTATAGTAAGAGAATAAATGTGGTCACCTTAAAAGAAGGGGAAGAAGATATTTAAGTATTTGGGAAAAAACATGGGAGTGACAATTCAAACATAAATGAAGGCTTAGTTTGCTTGTATATATTTGTTGTTTTGTTACTGCTTAGAAAGGAGCTCTTCAAAGTCTAGTAAAAAGTGATAGAAAATTTGGCACTTTTTGTTTTTATTTATTAGGCAATGCTTCCATATTAGAAAAAGTAAGTTCCTCTTATAGCTCTAAATTGATAATCACAATTTATTTAATAATCATTTCATATTATGGATTTAAGTACTGCATTTTATCTTAGCAGACTGTAACATACAAGTAGTATAAAATGGAATATATATATGTATATATATATAAAAGCAGGAAATAAAGGTGATGTAATAATCACTGTTGATGATACTCACTTTTAAAAATTCATTTTAAAGAAATACATTTCTGTCAAACTCAAGTGAACTCCTTCATAGCCCAAAGAAATGTAATTTAACTCAAATTTTACAAGTTATTAAAAGAATATATGAGATACAAATTAAAATGCATCTTAATAAGCTCCAAATATACTTTAAATATAAAGATGTTAGCTCTGGTACATAAGAAAATATTTACAACTAATAAAAAGCAGATTGTAGAATATACATGTTCTGTGTATAAAAATAAGTAAAATATTTTATAGTCCAGACCCAGGGATCTTTTCTAAGCAAGGTTTTATCCGTGCAACTGTATTACAATACCATCTCAGTATTACTGGAACACATGCATGGAGGAAATCTAACAATAATCTTGATTTAAAGCTCATACTGCCTTTTTAGGGCTTGTACATCTTCTAAAGTAAAATGTTCATTTGGTGTGCCTGAGAGGTCATCAAAAAGCTGTTCGATTTGCTCCTTTTGGCCCTTGCTCATTAGTGTCAACATCATCTGAAAGAAGGAGAAAAATGATAGTATAAAACTAACATTTTAAGGTTATAGAAAGTCTGTAAAAATCAATCTCAATAAGATACTTGGCCACTTACCTTAAACCTTTCTGCTTTACTCAGATATAAAAGATGCTGATATACCAATAAGGGATCTTTATCAATGAGATCATTTTTCAGAGACTGAATGAGGAGGAGGAATATATCCCCTTCAAGTTTGTTACTCAACAACGCTGGCAAATCTTTCGGTTCAGTGATGGCTAACAGATGTGCACAGGCTTCTTTATCTTTTCTAGAGCTGATAGCATTTATAACCTGCCCAAATTCATAGGCACTGTTAGGCTTGGTGATCGGTAGTTTCTCATAGTATTCTAGTGGCCCGTGGCCCGTGTCCCCCTGCTCAGGAGCATGGCAGCCAGTGCAGCACTCCTCAGGGGTCCTTTCAAGCTTTTCATGGTCTTCATTCACCTTCACAAGGAAAAAAATTTCACTGTGACACAAACAGCTGCACTACGCACACCCCAAGTTACATTTATTAAAATGAAAGGACTGAAAAGCACAAGTCAACAGGCCAGACAGGGCAGGGTGGGGACGGGCAAAAACAGAAGAAGCAGACCAAATGCAGACTCCCAGTGCCGTCCATGGACCAAACTGGGAAAACACAAGGGTTGATTATCAAAGTTAAGGAAAACTTTGTCTTTATAATTGGTTAAAATTTCTCCATTGAGCATCAGAATAAAAACAAATTTAAAAACATATATTTTTGTATAACTCAGGAAGGAACATGATCTTAGAACCCAATGTAAGATTCCCCAAAGAAGTGCTTTTTAAGATAATACAAATACCTCTTGAATCTCAATCTTCCTTCTTTCCTTTTCTTTATGGAATGATGCTGTCTGATCCTTCACATTGAGGAACCTGGTTACCTCTTCCAGTTCCATCTTTGCCTCAACAATACTTGAGTCTAGTAGGAGAACTTTATTGAGATCATTCAAACTTTTCTGATAATTCTGAAAGTAGAAAAGCCAGAATATATGATGTGGAGGGGTGCAGTGATGCAGAGGGCTCCCAGGGGAACCGTGATTACAAAGGTGGGCCTTTGGGTAACACTTGGGCTAAATTATTATGACCCATAACACAGCAACCTTCCTTCATAAAAGGCAGAACATTGAATCTGGAATCAGAAGACTCAGATTCCCTAACACCATGCCCCTCCCCACCCCTAACGCATGGTGAGCCCTTGTCTGCTGAATAAGTGAAATAATGAGCATCCTCACGTTAGCACCTACTAGCAGCAAAACTTGAACAAGATCCTACCTTAACCTTTCTGAGCTTTAGTTTTCCTTATTTTTAAAATAAGAATAACAAAAACTTCTCTATTCTAGTTTTCATGAGGCTACACCAAGTAATAAATGAATTAAAATAATATGAGTGGTTTAAACCTATAAAGGGGTATACAAATGTTATTTGCTACCATATTGTCTTGTTCCATAGAACCCTTCAAAGTTTTATACTGTTCAAATAGGCTAGAGTTGATGTTTATTCTTCCATAAAGAATCATTGGGGGTGGGGGAGGCAAATCTAAGCTTAACAAAACACAGCATGGAAGCTGGTAGCAGAGACAATGGCCCCAAAATCAGTCCTCTATGACAGGCCATATTCTAGAACCCATGGGGTTTTTTTGGTTTTTGAATTTTTTTTTAATCCTCACCCAAGGTTATATGTATTGACTCTTAGAGAGGGAAAAGGAGAGAGGAAGAGAAAGAAAGAGAGCAAACATTGATGTGAGAGAGACACATTAATAGGTTGCCTCTGACACGTGTCCCAACCAGGGCCAGGGATAGAACCTGCAACCCAGGTACATGTCCTTGACTGGGAATCAAACTTGTGACCTTTTGGCTGGTGCTCTAACCACTGACCAACACTGGCTAGGGCAGGGTGACCCATGTTTTGCTTAAATCAAAATGAATTCCATGAGGAGGCGAAGAATTCCAGTGATGTGTAACCTGAGTACTGGTGACATATCAGTAACAGCATACACTGCAGGCTGAGGCACAGGACAGATAAGCAGTGTTATGTGACAGTCCTGAGGGACCAGCTACAATGCCACATTTCTTCCTGCTCCGCCCAGCAAAACAGCAGAACAAGAGTAATGGATGAGTTTAAAGACATAACCTTAAATCTTCTCTAGTTTGTAAAAAAAAAAAAGTAAATTATTTATAAACTATAGTACATTATGTACTATTAATAACAAATCTACATACCACTGAGTCACAACATAGTCAGAACCTGCTACAAAAAACCCCCACAATGACAACGCATTTCCATGTAAGTGTTCTAGGCGGGGCCCATACTGAACAGCACGGCGGTGGGCAGTGGGGCAAGTTGACGGAGTAGCAACAGCCAGTTCTTACCAACCTCAGCCCTTTGCAAGTATTGTTTTACTCTCACAACAGCCCTATAGACACTAACTTTTATTGTCCCCATTTATTTCTATAATATTTATACTTGAGGTAACAATGACAAAATACAAACTATGAATAGTGTTGAGTTTTTTGTTTGTTGGTTTGTTTGTTTTTTTGTCATAGAAATTTTCCAGAACTAAACAAATATGGGACTAAAAATAGGTCAGTTTTGATAAATAGGCACTGAAAATTTCACAACATAATATAACAAGCTGATAACACAGTGGTTTATAAGAAAATGGTACAGTTAATGTTTGTGGATCCAACCAACAAAAAAGAAATAAGGGAAATTAAGACAGTATTGTCCCCCGTTTTAAAGATGAAGAAATTGAGGCATAGAAAGATCATCTTTGGGATGATCAAGGCAGCAAGGGCCCAAGGTGAGTGGTAATACAGTTGTGGAGATTAAGTGAGAGGCCTGAAAACAGACTTGTAAACTACAAAATCAAAGTCCAACACCACAAGCGTCGATACAGTCTTTCCATCTATTTCAGGAAAGTCGGGGCCTAAAGGGCAATCTGTCTGATTGAAGGAGACCTAAGAAAACAGGAAATACACTTTGGTAAGTGTTAAAACAGAGGCAGTCAAGTGTGACAAGAGGGCAGGACAGCAGAATGGGTAGGGACAGCATCAAGCAGGGAGGCAGTGGACGATGAGGAGCCAGTCTGCCAGATCCCACAGAGGTCAGGTAAGGTTCATTCACCTGAGGTGGCCACGACCAATTTGTGCACCAAGAATGGGAACACCATGGGAGAAAGAACAGCCGTGGTCCTGGCCCTTTGGAATTGTATGTCTTACAAAAGGAAACAATAAAAAAACAAGTAAACAAATGAATAAATAAAATATAATTAATGCAATTAAGAAAACCAAAGGTTGAGATGGATGCTAATGAGGAAGGAGTCTCCCTTTGATACAGTTGTCAGAACACAAGGCCTGAAGACAACAGCCTGCAGAGTGGAGGGAAGAAGCTTATACAGAGAACAGGGTTGGCTCTGGCCGGTTTGGCTCAGCGGTTAGAGCGTCGGCCTGTGGTCCTGAGAGACCCGGGTTCGGTTCCCGCTAAGGGCATGTACCTCGGTTGCAGTTTGTCCCCGGCCCTGGTCGGTTGTGCGGGTGGCAGCCCCTCGATGTGTTCCTTTCACATCAATGTTTCTCTCTCTCTCCCTCCCACTCTACCTGAACAGAAAATGGAAAAATGTCCTCGGGTGAGGATGAAAAAAAAAAAGAGAAGAGGGTTGCTCTGGCAGAAAGGACATTAAAAGTTACTATTGCCCTGGTCATTTTGGCTCAGGGGTTACAGTGTTGGCCCATGGATGGAAGGGGGTTGGGTTCGATTCCTGGTCAAGGGCATGCACCTGGGTTGCAGGTTCGATTCCCTGGCCCTTGTGGGGGAGGCAATCAATCAGTGTGTCTCTCTCAACATCAATGTTGCTCTTTCTCTCTCTCTACCCCTCCCTCCCTTCTACTCTATCTCTATCTAGAAAAAAAAAAAAGTTGCTACTGACCTCATTAAGCCTTAAGAAAAATGATGAAGTATAATTGCATGGGTTTGTGATAACACTTACTATTAACAGATATGCTTAAACTCTAATAATTTTATAACACATTACTTTTTTTGGTATCTTGGCATTATAGCATCCCCAATTGGCTGTAAACTCCATAAGGCAGGCACTATGTTTTACTTCTCTCTATGCTCCCAAAGCCTAGCACATAAGTGGCAGTGAAAAAAGAAGCAAACTGCCCCGGCCATTGTGGCTCAGTGGCTGGTTTGATTCCCGGTCAGGACACATCCCAGGTTGTGGGCCCAATCCCCAGTGGGGGGCATGCAGGAGGCGGCCAAATGATGTTCTATCTCGTCCTCCCTCTCCCTTCCTCTCTAAGATCAATATAGAAAAAAAGGTTTTTTTAATAAATTGTATGCACCAATAAAATGTTCAGTTACTTTGTTTATGAGGAACAACTGTACATCAAGGAAAGCTCTACATTTTTCAAAACTGGCACACATGAAAAAGTAAAGCCAGCTAGAAAAGAAACAGAAGATCCAAGAAAGCAGAGTGTTCTGCTGAGAGCTTGAGGCAGGGCACCTGTCACTGTGGGCCCTTGTGCCACCTCCGCACGTCTGGCACACCGAGGAGCCAGGTCCAGGTGTGAGCGGTGACGCATTTATAAGCTGCTGTAGCCTTTGCAGATCCCGAAATACATTCACTTGGTGTATATCTCAAGTGACAGGGTGAACACATTAAGCTGTAAGAAGTCAAACCAGAAAAACAAGCTGCTAGCCTCGTAATTTAGTGGGATAGGATAACTCAAACTTGGGATTATCTTTTTGCATCGTAATACAATTTCGAGAATTCACTTTAGGAAGTATAAAATTCTGGCTTTTCATTAGGTACAGCTGACTTTCAGTCAGTCAGGTAAACAAGTTCAGAGTCGGGCAGCCAGAATGCGGTAGGCCTGCTTGAAGAGTTTGGACACCACTGGAGAGTCAGGCAGAGCTACTATCATGCACCCAAATCCATTAAGCTCAATAAAAGTTGAGTTAATTTTGAAGAGGACTCTTTAATTCATGGTGCCACACACCATTTAGTAAATCTTTTAGTGAGGTTTACAAATGAGTGTTGCTAACAAAATGGGGCGGGGGGGGGGGCATGGCACTGGGACACACAGGCAGATGTGGAGCTTCCGGGCTGGTGACTGCACCCACATGCTGGGAGGGTGGGGCACCCAGGTCCAAGGATAGAAACTCTGTGCTCAGGACCCTCCTAGATCTCACCCTATGTACCTCTTTCTGTGGCGACTCAACAGTATCCTTTATAAAGTCCTTTCTAACAACCTGGGAAGGAAGAGAGTAGGGGAGCAGGGGGGCAGCTGCAGGGCCCCATTGGCCTGGGGGTCGTATCACAGCATCTGTACTGTGGCTCTACTTCGACCTGAGTGGATCTAGGATCGAGAAGAGCCTGATGACTCAGTGCACAGACCGAACTCATTTCATACATTATGCGAAAACACGACCACCCTCTCCCAATGAACCTAGGTTTTACAGAATGCATTTTCAGGTTATTTCCCAGCCAGTGATGGACATGGGATTAAAAGACCTGTCTCAAACTCTGTACGGTCAAAACCGAACTATTGCTCTTCCTCTCAAACTCCTCCCTCCTCCTGTAGGACCCTCACCACATGGCACCACTGAGCCACCAGAGCCAGAAACCTGGGAGCCACCCCTCTGTTCTGTCTTCCATACAGTTTACTGCTCACATGTCCGGCCAACTTTACCCTCCAACAACCTTCAATGAATCCCTCACCTTCTGTTATCAGCTAAACTGTGTCTCCCCCCACCCACAAAAAGTCATGTTGAAATCCTAACCCACAGTACCTCAGAATGTAACCATATTTGGAGATAGAGTCTTTAAAGAGGCAATCAAGTAAAAAGGAGGTCATTAGGATGACCCCTAATGCAGTATGACTGGTGTCCTTATAGAAAGAGGACATCTGGACAGACACGCATGGAGGGAAGAGGAAGACAGGAGAAGATAGCCGTCCACAAACCACGGAGAGGGGCCTGGAACACATCCTTCCCTCACAGCCCTAAGAAGGAACCCACCCTGCAGACACCTTAATCTCAGACTCCAGCCTTCAGAACTGTGAGAAAATACATTTGTGTTCTTTAAGCCACCATCTGCGGTACTTTGTTATGGCTGCCCTGGCAAACTGATACACCTTCTCCCTTCCTTCTGCCATTATCTTCCTTTAGGGATCTGCTTCTCACCTTGGTGACCTCTCACCAATCTCCCTCCTACATGCTTGATGCCCCCACCTTTGATCCACCTTCCACACTGTCCCCGTGACGCCTGATCCGTCATGACGCCTTCCATCACCCTCTGGGGCTCCCATCACTTCCAGGATCAAGCCTCGCCTTCCTAGCACAGCCTCCCAGCCCCTTGTGATCTGACCATCTCTCTCCAGCCCAACTCCCACCTTCACGGGCTTCCAGCTGTACCAGTTCATAAGCAAGTTCATAAAATGTGTGTACAAGAAGGTCATAGCAGCTTTATCCATAACCGCTCCCAAACTGGAAAACACCTAGATGTCATGACTGGTGACTGTGGAAAATAAATTGTGGTATAGTCATTCAACTTGTCAACAAAAATGACTATTTCCTGACATTCACACAATATGGATGAATTGCAGATGCTATGCTGAGCAAAACAAGTCAGAGTACAGTACATTCTATATGATTATATTTATGTCAATGTCAAAAAAGAAGCACAACTAATCTATAGTGACAGAAATTAGATGAATGGTTGACTAGGATTGGGTGGAAGGAGGGAAATTAATTAAAGGCAATGGGCAAGAGGGACTTTCTGGAGCGATGGAAACATTCTCTATCTTGACTGGGGTGGCGACTACATGGGCATTATACATTATTCAGATCAATGACCAAATTAAGAAAACAAACTCATTTGTAATTTATAATTGCATCAAAAACAAACAAAAACATACCTAGGAATGAATTTAACCAACCTGTAAAAACCTGTATATTGAAAACTCTAAGATACTGATGAAAGAAACTGAAGACACAAATTAATAGAAAGATATTCTGTGCTCATGGATGGGAAGATTGGATATTGTTAAAATGTCCATACTACCCAAAGCAATCTACAGATTCAATGCACTCTCTAAAATTCCAAAAGCATTTTTTCAGAGAAGTAGGAAAATCCTAAAATTTGTATGGAACCACAAAACACCGCAAATAGCCAAAGCATCTTTAAAAAGAAGAACAAAGCTAGAGCTCTGGCTGGCATGGTTCAGTGGTTAGAGTGTCTGCTTGGGCACCAGAGGGTCATGGGTTCAATTCCCAGGTCAAGGGTGAGGTGTATGCGGGAGGCAACCAATCGATGAGTCTCTCTCACACTGAAAGTAAGTGTGATTTTCTTAGAGAATGCCATTCTATAGTTTCATACTGATCAGCAGCCAGTTTAAGACCCAAATCATCATGAGCTTCCCAAGTCTGGTATGTTTCTACCATCTTCTGTTCTGAGGCCTTCCTCCAAACACATACAACCCCAACCCTTTGCTGGAGAAATCCAGTGGCATTGGTGGCCTTGAGTAGTTCAGTAAAAAACATTCCTGTTCCTTAAAGTAGACTTATCATAACTAACAACACTTCTTAGAAAATCAGGAAATAAATAATAATTTTCTGAGCTGGAAGGAGTCTAAGAAATTATCTAGCTCCACATTATAATTAGTAGAAATCTGAGGCCTGTTCCAAGGTTGCAGGACTGGTCAGTATAGACTTAGGATTAAATTCCAGATAACCTCGCTCCCATTCCTTGATCCCAAGACTGGTGTTCACGAAAACCACAGGGTTTGTTCGGAGCTGAACTTTATGTATTAAAATGAAGAGTTCCTCACCTTGAGTCCTTTATGAGCAAGAGCTCGTCTGTAGCACGCTTTCACGTTCCTGTTATCTATCTGAAGCGCCTGATCACAGTCCTGCTTTGCCTCTTCAAACTGGCACAGCTTCAAGTAACAGAGAGCTCTGGTGGAACGTGGAACTCAGGATTATGAAAGGGAAAGACAATATACCTATAAATGTAGACAGCTTTATCTTTAGATGGAGTGGGAGGGGGAGAGAGGGAGAGAGAGAAACATCGACGTGAGGGAGACACATCGACTGGGTGCCGCCCGCACGGCCCCAACCAGGGCCAGGAATGAACCATGACTGAGGTACATGCCTTGGCCAGAATCGAACCTGCGACTCATTGGTCTGAGGGCTGACACGCTGAGCCAAACTGGCCAGGGAGGGCCACAGCTGTTTCTCAATTAAAACCTAACACTTAAATCCAATTATGGCATTTCACGCAATACATGTAATTATGGCACTGGGGATACAACTATAAACAAAATCCAGTCCCAGCCCTCAAGGAAGAGACAGATGATTAAAACAAGTAAACACAATAAAGTCTGCATAGGATGCTCTGGGATGACACAGCTGAGAATGTCATCAGATCTGGTGGGGCTGAGGAAAGGGGAAGAAGAGTCAGAAAAGACTTCCTGGAAGAAGTGACATTTAAGTTGAATACCAGGGTATGAAGTGAGAATTATCCAAAACAAAGGCACTGGGTGAAAGTTAAGATGTAGGGAAGGGAGAGTGGAGGCCAGAGGCACAGTATGTCCACGGTTCTGTGTGAGAGAGAACATGATGTTCCCAATGGAGTGAGAGGTGCCATGTGGCCACAGTGCAGGGATGAGACTGGAAGAGCGGGCAGGCCCGATCCCAAGGGGCCTTGTGAATCATGGCAAGAAGCTGAGTTTTATCCTGAAATTAACGGGTTTTTAAATAGGGGTTGACGTGTTCACTATGTCTAGAAAGACCCCTCTACCTGCAACTTGGAGAATGAGAAAGAGGGGACAAGACTGCAGACACACCGTCAAGGGTGTTGCTTACAAGAAGAGACCGTGATCATCCAGAGCAGGGAGTGAGGGTGGAGAAAGTTGCCACAGAAGAGAAATGTAGAAGGTAGGACAAGCTTCTGACACACTCAGAAAGGGAAGCATCGGTCAGGAAGGAGAACCCGTCATGAGTGCAGAAGGCAGGGGAGTGCTCAGGTCCAAAACTCAGACAGATTTAAAGGCCATAACTGGAAGGTGGTAAATGGACCTGTGGAGAGAACAAAATGGCCAGAGAACAGAGAGAGGAAAGAGGATCTATACCTTGAGAACCCCTAGAATACCAGCGGGAAAAGAGGAGAGCCAGCAAGTGGGCTGCAGTGCCCCCAAGGGGAGCGGGTGGTCTCCAGGGAAAACTGAGTGGCCATTAATGCCCGATACACAGAGGCTGAACAGAAAGGTAGAAAAACACTTGGTGGAGTTAGTTACACATTTTTGGCACAAAGATTACCAACAGAGGAAAATGTACAAAAACAAAGCCGTGAGAAGTTCAGTTAAAAAGAATTCATCTGGCCCTGGCCGGTTTGGCTCAGCGGTTAGAGCGTCGGCCTGTGGTCCTGAGAGACCCGGGTTCGGTTCCCGCTAAGGGCATGTACCTCGGTTGCAGTTTGTCCCCGGCCCTGGTTGGGTCGTGCGGGTGGCAGCCACTCGATGTGTCCCTTCACATCGATGTTTCTCTCTCTCTCTGTTCCTCTCTCTCCCTCCCACTCTACCTGAACAAAAAATGGAAAAATATCCTCGGGTGAGGATAAAAAAAAAAAAAAAAAAAAAAAAAAAAGAATTCATCTGGCTCTGGCCGGTCTGGCTCAGTGGTTAGAGTGTCGGCCTGAGGACCAATGAATCTCAGGTTTGATTCCAGTCAAGAATAGAACCTTGGTTGCATTTCATTCCCGGCCCTAGCCCAGGTTGTGTGGGAGGCAACTAGTTGATGTGTCCTTCTCACATCAATGTTTCTCTCTCTCTCCCTCCCTCCCACTCTATCTAAAAAAAAAAGGAAAAATATCCTCAGGTGAGGATTTAAAAAAAAAATCTGAAATAGCTAAAAAATTCGTGCTGTGAGTCCCTGTTCTTTAGGAACTATACCTTATTTTCCCTTGTCACCCCAGATTCTACCTACTCCCTAAAATTCCCCAAATCACCATATTCTAGGTAACTTTTACCATAATGTGGTAAAGATGGCACCCGAGCAGCAATCTAGAACAATCTCCCCGCTCCTACTGCACATAAAAGATGCCGATCCTTCCCTTAGCACTTCAAGAGAAAAAGGGCAGGTAAGACGCTAATCTGAAAGGCAGGTGTTCCTACCCCTTCCATGGAGGACAGCACTCAGGCCTGTAGCGGCATAAGGCCACCCGGCCAGAAGGGGCACAGCAGCACCAGGCAAAGCCGCAAGGGCCTGTGCGGAACACAGGGCACGTGAGCCCTCCCGGCCCACCACACCTCATGGTTTCCATCTCTCCAGAACGCCTCTGGCCCCTCCACTTCTTAGACAATTTGCTTTATAACTGATCAGAACCATGGAAAAAAACTTTGACAATTGATTTGTCTATATTTTTAAATAAAAAATATTACCATAAGAAATATATAAAATTACAAAGAACTTGCCTGTTTGTATAAATGGCACACTCCTTATTGTTAATCTTTAAGCATTCACTGTATTTACTAAGAGCATCTTTATAGTTTTTGTCCTTTACACATTGATTTCCTTCTTCTTTAAGGGTTTTAAACATTTTTTCATCTATGAAACCCAAAATACAAAAAAAGAGGAAGCATTTATATAAGCACCTCTACAAAACCTTAAGAACATCTGTAAGTAAATCTATTACAAATTAACTTGACACCATACCATGCAGAGCTAGAGTCTAAATGGAACAAAACTTTGTAGAAATTTAAAAGATAAATTGGCTATAAGTAAAAGTGATTATACAATTATGATACTTTTTTCAAATTAGAAAATATGTAAAATACAAGTAATTCTATCATTTTATCTATATTGGCATGCCTTTTCTCTGCTAGAGATATCTAGTGTTTCGTTAAATAACTATTCTGTGAAGAATGAACAAACAAACCCATTAAAGCCTGAGGTAGTCTTTGTCCAGTATCCCAAAGTTCTTTGGGAAAATCACACCTCCTCCACAATCTGCTTCTGTGGTGTAAAGCAGCCCCCACCCTAGCCCTACCTTTTGGGATAATCTTTGTTTTTTTTTGATCAGCACATTATATTCCCTTGGCCAAAATAATCAAATCAGTCAGAGATGGGCCTCTGAGGGCCAATGAGCTACAATATGATTTTTGTGGCAGCACCTGATAAAGTAATTCTTGCTCTTTCTCATGGAATGAGGGTGAAAGGTGGAGCTATGTTACCATCCTATGAGACACAGGGAGAGTCTGTCTGAAAATGGGGCCAACAGAGCAAGTGAAAGGCCAAGAGAGGTAAGGAGAATGTCAGTCCTAAATCCAGCCTTCCATTAAGCTACTGCACGTGTGGACTTCTCCATGCTGGGACGGAGCCAAACACCACATTTTTTTACCTTTTTTTTTTTTTTGCTCCAGGCCATTAAGAGTTGGGTTTTGTTATCTGCGATTAGAGCGTCCCAACTATTATTTTTACCTACAGTCTTGTGGGGACCGTGGCGGACTGCCTACTCAGGACCCATTTTCCCTCTCTGAGGGTACCTCGCAGCTATCACCCTTCTGTTCAGCCAACGTGCTCAGTGGAAGCTGACCTTAAGGATCAGGAACATAGGCCTAAGCCACCAGGGCACAGCACTTCTTCCTCACAGAGACTGGCTCAGGCATGGGCACATGACCCACCCGAAGACGTTCCAACAGAATTCGAGCCAACAGAACAATAGAATAAAAAAGCTACCAGGCCCTGGCCGGTTTGGCTCAGCAGTTAGAGCGTCGGCCTGCGGTCCAGAGAGACCCGGGTTCGGTTCCCGCTAAGGGCATGTACCTCGGTTGCAGTTTGTCCCCGGCCCTGGTAGGTCGTGCGGGTGGCAGCCACTCGATGTGTCCCTTCGCGTCGATATTTCTCTCTCTCCCTCCCTTCCTCTCTCTCCCTCCCACTCTATCTGTACAAAAAATGGAAAAATGTCCTCGGGTGAGGATAAAAAAAAAAAAAAAAAAGCTACCAGGTTGGGCAACATATTTCCTCATTCTTAAATGAATGCCACCAAAGCGACGGTGTTTCTCTCCCTTTGGACACTGACATATACAGATGTGAAGCCTAAAACTGCTACGGTTCCACTGTTTCCGGCCAGAACCTGAATGAACGCTGGTGAGCTATGCATGGTTTTAGAGCCCACGTTGGCCCTTTCGTTACATGAGCCAAATCCATTCCTTACAATTTAAGTCAACAGATACTGTTACTTGCAACCACAGTTTTCTAACACACACATAATGTTAAAATTTAAAGTCTTAAACCTACGTAGTAGCTTTACCTACAAAAAAACCTGACATAAAATGTTAACAAATAAATAAAATATACCTTTAAATTCTGTGATCTAAGAATTTGACAGATGTACTGACTTTATACTATAAACTTGAATGTAAATGATAATCTTATTTTGTCCCTCTGCACAAATGGCAAAATATATTTATTTTTTATTTCAAATAACAGAAGATTTCTGCCTAATGTTCAAGTTCCAAAGGGGTCAAATGACACTCCATGAATCCTGGTGTATGTAAGTTCTAAAACAAAATGTTACAGAGGATTTCTTTCTCCTCAATTTGCTAAAACACTTTTCTCCACTTTTTCTTCCAACAATGTTTGTAAGCCCTTGGTATCCATTCTCACTAATAATTAGTACACTAGGAGCAGAAAAAGCTGATTAGACTAGTACTTATGATTTGCTATCACATATCTATAGTATGGTTAGTGTATGTACTTTGTTAATAATAAACAGACACCTTCATTGAGCAAATGCTTTGTGCCAGGCCCTATTAATAATGAACGCTAGAAATCAAGAGATCTCCGTGCTGTCCCTAAGGGCTGCCAAGTCATCTACCAGCCTTGGAAAATGTTCCCTGCTGCTGCTTTCAAGGGCAGGAAAGATGAAGGTCTAACACTAGCCACTGGGACATCGTGCCCCAGGAACCTCAGGGCTTCTGCAAGATAAAGCTCAACCCGGGAACATGCATGGAGTTCCTGAGCCAGCAGGAGAAATGAGGCCTCAATTAGCTTTAACGCAGAAAGCATGAGTGCAGTCACATTTATTAAACACTGCACAAAGCAGTGACGTAGGTACTATGGCAACGAAGATACATTAACAACTATGATACAGGCAGAGGAAGTACCTGCTAGATATTTATGTTGTAGGGTGTTATTTATTTCAAACACATCAGTCTTATTGGTACAGTAGAGAACTATATGCTACATAATTATTTTTCTTCTTATTGTTAATTTAATGCTAACTTAACCTTATTGAGGCTAAATATTTTATATGCATATCTCCATTTATTCCTGAGAACAACTCCATGAGAGAGTTGCTTATATTAACCCTTATCACATACACTAGGACACAGGAGGTGTGAAGCAAGTTCTTAACACTCTGTAGTTAGAAAGAGGGCAATCAGGGTCTTAAATCCCAGGTCTGACACCTAAGTTCACGCTCTTATTCTACTGCTTTACTGCGAAAGTGTACACAGCTCAAAATAACCTTTGGAAGAAAGTAGCGTAGGCTCCCCCCACCTGTGCTGCCCGGTTGATGATGGCTGCAGGATTCTCCCACTTGATCTGGGGGCATCTCTGCTGTAGGCCGCCAAGCTCGCAACTGTGCAGAAGTGGGCACAGAAGGTATGGGTGATAGCTTCTCCCGCCAGCTTGGTCCATCCAGCTCCATTAAAATTCTTGTTATTCTAAAAGAACATAAGTTTTTGCTATTGATTATATAATTTACATTTTATATCACTGAAGGTCTTATCAAGAGTTAAGATTTACAAATGCGATGCATTTGTGTACTTCCCTGCAGAAAAAACATAATGGAGCTTTTTGCTGTCCACATAAACTGTCTTCAAAAGGACTTTTAAAAGTTGCCAAAAACTACATAACTTCATATTTTTGTATCAAAAGAAAAAAATTAAGACATTTCCAATTAGTTTATATTTTTAAAAACATATAAGCAATAAAATTTTAATTTTTGAAAAGGTTAAATATAAAAATAAAATTGAGGAGGCCTTCACACATTAAATGATCAGGGGTTCAATACCTGGTCAAGGGCACATATGTGGATTTACAGGTTCAATCATGTGGGAGGCAACCAATCAATGTGTCTCTGTTTCTCTCTCTCTCCCTCCCACCCTTCCCATCTCTCAAGAAATCAATGGAAAAAATATTCTCGGGTGAGGATTAACAAAAAAAAAAAAATTTAAAAAATTGAGGAGGCCTAGAAGAAAAGTCCCACGTAACATTTAATATAACTATTAAACTGATGTATTATTCCTGAGAATACTCAGGAGCACTTGGGAATTTCTATGCCCAAACTGTACACTTAAGACATGTGTATAAGACTGGGCTGCCCTAGTGGGGTAGTTCAGTTAGTTAGAGCATCATTCCAATACACCAAGGTTATGAGTTTGGTATCTGGTCAGGGCACATACAAGAATCAACCAATGAATGCATAAATAAGTGGAACAACAAATCACTGTTTCTCTCTCTCTCTAAAATCAGTAAATAATTTTTTTTTAATGACTGGGCTAAAACTAGCTGTCATGTGGATACTGCTTTTTTTTTTAATCCTTACCCGAGGACATTTTTCCACTTTTTGTTCAGACAGAGTGGAAGGGGGAGACAGGAAGAGAGGGAAAGAGAAACATCAATGCAAAAGGGACACATCAAGTGGCTGCCACCTGCATGACCCAACCAGGGCTGGGGACAAACTGCAACCGAGGTACGTGCCCTTAGCAGAAACCGAACCCGGGTCTCTCCGAACCGCAGGCCAACGCTCCAACCGCTGAGCCAAACTGGCCAGGGATGGATACTGCTTTTTAAAAAACATTTATGTGTGGTTAAGATACTCTTACCTTATATTTTTTCATCTCTAAAATTATCCACTTATTTTGTTTTCATATGCATAAAGAAGAAAGAACAGGATACTGGAGTCTACTATGGGCCCTAGTATTAATGACATTTACTAAGAGTCATCATAAAATTCAGATTAACATCCCCGATTATCACTTTCTCATCATTTTAAACATATAAAATATCATACTTTTATTTTAAAACAAAATGAAATGTTTTTGGAATAAATCTGGTTTTAGAAAGGTGCTCGTCATGACTGAAGGTTCACTGGTAATTAGTACAATGCATTCAAGTTAGTTAACTCAGCAGTACTTTTTGTGCAAAATATTTTTACATTTATATAGAGACAAATATAATACACATAATTTCCCTACAATTTCTTTAATTTGAAATTTCAATAGTGATCTTTGGTTATGATAACCAAATATCATATATTTTAGTGTAAAAAAAGTAAATTTGAAAAATAGTGTACAACCACCCACAACTTCAAAAGAAAAAGAAGATTTAGAAAAAAAGAATTTTCAAGCAAAACTTGTATTACCAGAAGGGAGGAAGGAAGAAGCAGCTTAAAAGAGATGATGTGTTGCCAGGGAGTAAATAAGTATATGCAGGGAAATTTAACATATAAGATTCCTGGAGAGGAAGAGAGGAATATGATTAATGGACGACAGAAACAAAATAAGCACAAATGTTTAAATTAATAAAATATATATTGTTGCTTAGGTGAAAAGCAAGCATAAATATGGGATTCATGAAAAAGAATAGTGAAAATTTTAAACTGGACATCTTACAAAAAAATATACATGCAATACCAGACAAAGCCTCCTCGTCTTATATGACAATATATCATCAAGAACCACTCAATTAAAAAAAAAATGAACGAGTCTTAAAGTCAATTTGTATAAAAGAACCTTCCTATGCACATATATAAAGTATAATGCAATCCTCAAAAAATTAAACAGAATTACCATATCACCCAGCAATTCCACTCTTAGGTATACACCAAAAGGCTATGAAAACAGATATGCAAACAAAAACTTGTACTTGAATATTCATAGCAGCACTATTTGCAATAACCAAAATGGGGAAACAACCCAAATGTCCATTGGTGGATAAACGGATAAACAAAATGTGATATATCCATTCAATGGAATATTATTCAGCCATAAAAACGAAGTACTGATATATGCTACACCATGGGTGAACCTTAAAAACATTTGCTAAGTGAAAGAAGTCTAATACAAATGGTTCATATCCTATGATTCCCTTTATATGAAGTATCCATAGGGCCAGGAAGCAAATTAGTGGTTGTCAGGGTGTGGGAGCAGGGAGACTGAGGAGTGACTACTTACTGGGGGCAGTTTCCTTTTGGACTGATGAAATGTTTGGGGACTAAACAGAGATAGCCCAACACTGCGAATGTACTATAAAGGCCACTAAATTACATACTGCAAAGTGGTTAATTTTATGTTATATGAATTATACTTGAATTTTTTAAAAAAGTATAATGTAGCCCTGGCCGGTTTGGCTCAGCAGTTAGAGCGTCCGCCTGCGGTCCGGAGAGACCCGTGTTCGGTTCCCGCTAAGGGCATGTACCTCGGTTGCAGTTTGTCCCCGGCCCTGGTTGGTCGTGCGGGTGGCAGCCACTCGATGTGTCCCTTTCACATCGATGTTTCCCTCTCTCTCTCTTCCTCTCTCTCCCTCCCACACTGTCTATACAAAAAATGGAAAAATGTCCTCGGATGAGGATTAAAAAAAAAAAAAAGTATAATGTAGAAGCTGCAGAAATGTGAGTAATCAGTCTCTCAGACATATATTTCTCCCTTCAGCCCAGTCAGCCCATCACTATGAACTACATTTCCTAAAACACCTTTTCAACAGACCCCTCCTCCTCTCTGTCAGATACTTCAGGTGTCTTCCTGCTCCGTTTCACAAGAACCCCTAACTCTGGGAGACGTTCCTACTTCACTGTCTCAGAGACTTCCAGGGAGAGAGAGCCCCAAGCAAAGCACAGGAGTGACCCAGTTCTCTGTCGGAGAATGCATTCATCCAACACATTTTTTACTGAGGATATCTACTATATATGATATTGCAACTACAAAAATGAATAAAACACAATTCCTGACCTCAAGGAACTCCTAGTAGGATGAGAGAAAAAAATTGTTTACAAGAAGAGAGGACAGAGAATGTACACACAATATGGAAGCCGAGTAATAGGAGGCACAGTGTTCTGGGGGCACCGAGGAAGGAAGCATCAAGGACACGTATGGTGGTGGTAGGGAGATGAGTGGGTCGGGGAAAGTCATCTCCTCGAGGAAGCAAGTCTTTTCCTAAAGGATGAGAAGGACCTAACCAGACAAAAAGGGGAAAGGGGGCCTCAGAAACATACGAGGCCGCAGATGACATGCAGTGAGTGGCATGCAGCAGGGCAAACTGCTTGGACAGCTCCCAAGGAACCCACTGACTTTATAAGCTCGAGATCGAGGAGGTTGTGAACACCCCAGATTTGATCTAGTTCCATTCGAGATCCAGTAACTAATATATATCCCTTCCTTCCAGGTCAGACAGGGATCAGTCAGGTTGTGTGTGACCAGAGTGGAAGCTCCAGGAATGGCTGTCAGTTCTGAATACAGATCTTTCTAACAGCTTTCTCCAAAGTGCAGTGGGAAAATGTGGTGAAGTAAGGCACTGATTTTAAAAGACGAATTGGCACTGGTCGGTTTGGCTCAGCGGTTAGAGCGTTGGCCCATGGAACAAAAGGGTCATAGGTTCAATTCCAGTCAGGGGCACGTATCTCAGTTGTGGTTCGTCCCCGGCCCTGGTCAGGTCGTGCAGGAGGCAACCCGTCAATGTATCCCTCTCACACTGATGTTTCTCTCTCTCTACCCCTTCCTCCCACTCTACCTGAAGATAAATAGAAAAATATCCTCAGGTGAGGATTAAAAGAAATTAAAAAATGAATTATTCTAAAACATACCATTCTCATTTTCTATAATTTTGCTCCAGGCCTCCTCATATTCTATCAGTGCCCTTCAAAGACCACCTCAAATGCTCTCTCTCCAACAACTGTAGCACACACAGACAAAGGTGGCCTGACCTATGATCACCCTACCTTACTAATACATTTTCACACTTAAGGATAATCTCTCTTAGGTTGTTCTTCTCCTTAGCTATATTCTAGTTTGCCTAAAGACAGAGACTGTGCCAATTTTTTCTCTTTTCGAAAGCAGTGGGGCATGGTACACTAAACCAAAGCAGGGCACACACACATACTTAAGAAGTTATACTTTGGACAAATAGGATCAGAAAATATACATAACCAGAAATGCTATCCAACTAGTAATTTTCAAATTTCGTCTGAAAGCCATTTATGAAGTCTGGAAATTCTTACCTTTCCATTCTCATTCAAGGGGAAAATAAATTAGATCAAATTCTTTGTTATTTCACCATTATAAACTGATACTCATCCTACTTGACTGTCCATGTAAAGGGTATATAACACGAATATCAAGCAGGCTCATGAAGACATTCATTCTCCTGAGAAACAACAGATATATTTCTACTGACAGATGTGGTACAAATGAACATCTGCAAATCCAGTAGAAGATTCAACATGGCAGTTTTCACTACATTTTTTTATCTTGTCCTATAATCAGTACTGATTTGACATTACTGAAAACACGTTCCTAACCCCACAGATATTTACAAATACTAAAGTTAAATTTTGGGCTTTCTGAGATATACACTGTGCTATTTTTAAAAAGGATAGCATGTGAGTGTCTGTGCTGACACTCAGGGACAGGTGGTTCAGAGTCTTTTGGGGGAGGAGCCACCACCA